TAAAATAGTATACTTTAAATATAAGAATTTTATTTATCCTATGGGCTAAGACATTAACTCTAGACCCAAAATTTATTTACCTTGACCTCTTTCTTCTTTTATGATCCCTTCCTAGAGATGAAGATCGTTTTGAGAATGTTTCAAGAATCCTGTAGGAAATTTTATTTCAATAAAGAAAAGGTTACATGATTTGTGACTGACAGTTTCACGAAAAAAGGAAACTGTCAGTCACTAAGTACAACTCACACAAAAAAAGTCTAAAAAACATTATCACATCAAATATAAGGAGTTTCTAAACAATCTCCATAAATAAGAATAGAAAGCTCATGAGGTACTCGAATCGAGAATATAAAGTCTTGTTTCTCAAATTCATGCTTAGCAGCCCAATTTGTACATTGGATTCTTTCACGATACGTAAATAGCCAATTAACATGCACAACCTTAAGGAGAGCAAATATTTTTTTTCATTTGAATAATAAGACTCCAAGAATATGTTTTCTTCTTAGTACAATAGTTCCAAAGAATCCATCTCAATAACAATCAAATGCCAACCACAATTAACGGCAAAAGTTAATGCAACTATAACGGCTTCAGCTTCAGAACAAATAAGAGATACAACAATAGTAGGAGCAGAAAACTAGAAACACATTTTGTTTTAAAATTACGACACACTCCATCAATTCCAGCAAAAAAATTAGTCTAAATTCCATCAATATCAATTTTAAGAAGGTCGCACAAAGTTTTATTCCACTGAATTAAATTAGTAACATGCTTACAATAAAAAAGGAATATCTATATTACTTCTAGCAAAGATGCTTCTTAATTTCAAACCCAAAGGTTTTTTAAAATTACCAAAACGAAGTAAATTATAAATAAAATTAGTAATGAAGATAAAGCATGAATGAGTAGTAATCAAATTGTCATTATGTTTAGATTTATTCCTAGCAAACCAAAGGTACCAACAAACAATAATATGAATAGAGGTAAAAAAAAATATTCTCACAAACATATCTCCAAAAGTTAAAGAAATCATTGATGGAAAAATTAGTGACATCATTCATCGACATATCACAAAAAGTGAAAAAATTATTCCAAACCTCCTTAGCATATATGTAAGAAATAAAAATATGCTCCAAATTATATTCCACTTGTTTACAAAGAAAACATCGAAAAGTAAGACGTAAACCTTTTAATTTAAGAATATCATCAGTAGGTAAGAAGCGATGAAAAAACCTCCAATTGAAAAATGACTGAGAATGCTTAATAAAAGAATTCCAAGCCCAAGATAAATCAAAACCATTGGAGTAAGATAATGATTTAGCAAAAGTTTTAGAAATAGAAACTCCATAATTACCTTTAATATTGATAATATTAATATCATTAGTAATAGAAATTTTTTAAATAAGAATTGCTTGATCCTTCCCAACTAAACTACAAAGTATAAGAAAATCCCAATGACCATTATTCTAGCAGTTATTAATAGAAAAATTAATATCGAAAGGACTCAAATTCGAATTAGCCAAAGGATCATCTCCTATCCACCAATCATACCAAAAACTAAAATTTCCTTCACCGACATCCCAACAAATGAAATCTTCAGTAATACAAGCAACTTTAAGCATTTCTTTCCAAATAAAAGAATTATTATGTTTAGAAGTAATAGAAAGGGGATGAGAGTTACCACAATATTTAATCCTCAATAAATTGGACCAAATAGAGTTATCTTTACGAAAATGAAACCAAAGCTTCATGTAGTTGATGTGCATAGAATCTGTAATGCTTCTAAAACCAATTGGTTTGCACATTTTCTTCCAACTCATCATTCCAACCCATCAAATGAAGTTTAGAATCTTTACCGGCCCAAAGAAATTTATTAAGACAGCTATCAATTTTTTTAATTAAACAATTAGAAATTTTCATGAAAAGTAACTTACCGACCCAAAGAAATTTATTAAAACTGCTGTCATTTTGTTTAATTAAACAATTAGGAATTTTCATGAAAAGTAACGTACATAAAGGTAATGAAGTAAAAATACTTTTAAGAAGAGTAATCTTAATTTTACCACCAAAAGATAGAAGAAGGTTATCCCAGAACATGATTCTGTTATTAATCTTTTCAATAAGATTATCAAAAAGATGAACTTTTCATTTACCTCTATCTAGATTGAAGCTTAGATGAGTAAAAGAAAAATTCCCTTTATTGCACTTTGTGAAGTCCTGGATCCAATTCTTCTTGATACTAGAAATTTTCTTGGAACAATAGAAATAACATTTATTCATATTGAAAGACATACCTGAAATGTTTTGAAAGATATCGAATGCATCCCAAAGTTTCTTTATAAACTTCTTATTAGCATTGATAAAAGTAATCAAATAATCAACATAAGTGAGATGAGAGATTTCTAAATCTCCTTTAATAGAATAACACATAGTAGGAAAATTATTAAATAAATTATTAAGATATTTAGACAGAAAATCAAAAGCCAGGATAAAAATGATAGGAGACAAGATCTCCTTCGCTTAATCCCACAAGTAGAAAAAAAAAAAAAACACATTTCTTACCATTAACCAGTACAGAATATAAGTTATTATAAAGAATTCTTTAAATAATGGAATATGAACATAAGTTATTATAAAGAATTCTTTAAATAATGGAATATGAACAATTATTAAAACCTCTAGCCTTGAAAATTTTCAAAAAAAAAAAAATCTCAACTAATAATATCCAAAAACCTCTAGCCTTGAAAATTTTCAAAAAAAAAAATCTCAACCCAAAGTCTTCTTAATATCTATGTTAAAAATAATGTTTTGCGAATGCTACTGAATCAATTAGTAGCATTCAAATTTCCTCTAGCCAGAAATATAATAGAGATTTTATGTCCTATATATACATGAATATCTCACACACAAATGAATATATAAAAACATAATAGAAAACACCTAAATTTTTAAATGAAAAATCTGAGAAGAAAATAGTCTAAATATGCAATCAAGTAAAATAATTAATTATATTCATACCAATTATAGCTTTTTAAAGTTTAGAAAAAGCGGCATAAAAATTAAAATTTAGCCGTTAGATATGTATATAAATAGGAAATGTATGTAAATTTTATTTTTATTATTATCTTATAATGTAATTAAATACAAAAACATCTGATTCCCAATCATCAACTTGCAGGCGGAGGCAACAAGGTAACGAGAGTGGAAGTCACCCTCGACGGCGGCGAAACCTGGCTCGTCGCCTCGGTCGACCACCCCGAAAAACCCAACAAGTACGGCAAATACTGGTGCTGGTGCTTCTGGTCCATCGATATCGCCGCCCACCGCCTCCTCTCCGCCGGCGAAATCGCCGTTCGCGCATGGGACCAAAGCCTCAACACCCAGCCCGAAAACCTGACATGGAACGTCATGGTAGGTGGCCCTTAACTTCCCCCCCCACGTAATCACATTCAGTAGAAAGCTCATCAGCTCCTCTTTTTGGAGCCACCGCAGGGAATGATGAACAATTGCTGGTTTCGCGTGAAGGTAGCAGTTTCCCAGCCTTTAAACCGCCTCACATTCCACCACCCAACCCAGCCCGGCGACAATCCCGGCGGCTGGATGACCTCCGGCGAGAGCCATGATTCCTCCTCTGAACTTCTTGAGAAGACCGCGGAAGCCCAGTTCTCCTTCTCCGACATCCGTAGCCATTCCTCCTCCACCTCCGCTTGGATCGTCGTCCACGGTCATGTCTACGACTGCACTTCCTTCCTCAAAGACCATCCTGGCGGCCAAGATAGCATTTTGATCAATGCTGGCTCCGATTGCACCGAAGAATTCAACGCAATCCATTCCGACAAAGCGAAATCCATGCTGGAAACCTACCGCATCGGCCGGCTGCTCGTCGGTTGTGACGCCTCCGACCACACAAACCCCGCGGGTGAAAAGATGATCGTCAATCTCGTCGGCAAGACCTGCATTAGCCGCAACCTCCGGCTCTTCCGCTTCGCGCTCCCATCTCCCGAACAACTCCCCGGCGTTCCGATAGGGAAACACCTCTTCCTCTCCGCCACCATTAACAACAAGCTCTGTACGCGCGCTTACACGCCCACCAGTCCGGAAGACGCGGCGGGCTATTTCGAGCTTATGATAAGAATATATTTCAAAGGAGAGCATCCTCGCTTCCCCGCCGGCGGGCTTATGACTCAGTATCTCGACTCCCCGCCCCTCCGGGCG